TGCATATGATACATTTCTTATATAGCTTCTGGTTTGTTCAGGCTCTATTTATGCCGTATGACCATAAGAACACAACCCCAGATGGACTTTCCTCCCACCAGATGAAGTCATTGCTTGAAGAACTCAACCAACTGCATTTCCAAAAGCGTTGCATGGTTGGGTCTGGTGGAGGTTCTGTTGGGTTAGTAATACTAAGTCATTATTATAATGTTCAGTTGATCGTTACCTGAAATTTTAAGATCAGATTCTATTCTTTACGTAACCACCTTTTGTGGTGGTAGCTGGACTGCAAGGCTAAGCCCTGCTGCGACTGAAATTTTAAGTGCTTTATTTGGCTCATTAACCTTTAGCCCCCACCCCCCCCCAAAAAAAAGAGCCAACATTTCTCCTCATGAGCCAAACTCATAGGTTTCAATGCTTACTCTTTCAAATGGTTTTTCATCAAGTTTTATTTCTAGGTACCTGGCACATGGGACAGCAACTGATTTTATGTTCGACATTGTAAAGGTGCCAATGGCTTTCACCTTTGAGGTTTGTCAAGTTATCCCCTCATTTTCCCCTCAAAGTTCTGATCTTTAAAGCAACCTGACCCAGACAAATTTGCATCCTTTTTTCGTTGTGACTCAGATATATGGAGATGGAGCAGCCTCATCAAGAGATTGCTTCAAAATGTTCAATCCCACAGAATTGGGTACCTTTCAATGTATGTCAGTTTTTTGGTCATCTTTTAAGTTTCTGCATATATTTGAAGGGTCAGTTAATGAAAACAGTATAAATCTTTTCGCTTTCAGAGAGTTCTCAATGAATGGTCAGCTGCATTTTTCACAATTTTTTAAATTGGGGCCAGAGCAGCTTGGTGAAAATTATTCAAAGTCTTCTGTGCCCACCTTATTAGACAAGTGGGTATCCATAGATGAGTATCTTGAAGGGTACTTAGTCGAGAGGAGTAGTAGATACGGAAAGAAGATGGAGGTGCTTGAACTAGGAATGCAGGAGATAAGAACATATTTCAGGCTCTTCTTGTTATCGTCTGTTCTGTTAATGTTCATGTTCTGTTCCAGAATTTCAAAAAGCAAGTGTGCCAGACCAATTGTTTCTGCTATTGCAATCTGATACTGTGAAACGACTCCGTGTTAGAGGCTTCGTGCTGCACTGTATTGACCGACATGTTGTTCCGCACATTTCCTCCACTTCTCCATTGATTTTCAATACCAATTGTGAAACACCATGAGCAGCAAGAAGTTTAGGTCCATAATTTGAAGTGAATTTTTTTGATTTCACGTTCCCAGTTGTCATGGGAAAAAGGAGAAGCAAAAATAAGAAACATGTAGGGGTGGTGTATGCCAAATTTTTTAGAAAAGCTGTACTTAAGTTGAATTTTTTATTTTGTACAAGTACGCACGATGGGAACAATATTCAAACCCATAATATTCTTTTCATTTAAGCGATCATCTCTTTGCTTGGATTGAATTTATACTCGCATTTTACTCGAATCTCTAAGCAATTAATCGTTGTTCTTGTTCATTCCTTGAATAACCAAGAGTTGACGTTCACCATATTTGTTTGCATACTTCCTTCTGATAAATTTACAAAAACACATGCAACTTAGTTTTATAATTACATTCTACTTTAGATGAAAAAATCGGACAAATTTTACAAGATACAAGCAATGAATCACATTTTATCTGGTGACGGTGCTATGGAAACAATTAAACCAAATTGTGAGTAATGTAAATGTAATGGTGATATAACATGCGTCGGGTCAAGTACTAGGATCGGTGACAATTTCTGAGATCATCCTTATCAAGGAGCAGAGCCCGCCCAAGAAGTTATGGTCGATTACACCTTTCCCGTCGATCACATGAGCAAAATCAACAAGTTTAATTTGAGCACCTTGTTTCTTCCCTTGCTGCAACGATTCCTTGTCGTAAACCATCATAACTGAACAAGAGTAGAAATGGTAAATGGTCTGCTCCTCAAACCACGACTTCAGTACCAGCAACTGTGCCAATATCCCATTATGACCACCATAGACAGTCGATGCAAAACAACAATCTGGTTTGATATCTGAATCGGTAGATGGGTTAGAAGATACAAATTTCCTAAGAGTTAACTTAGTCTCATCAACGCTACCCCTCTGAATAACCGTCCTGTCTGGCTTCCAAACTCCAGTTTCTTTGTTTCCATGCACTTGGAGTCCAGATATCCTGAACCCCAGTTCCAGGCTCGCGGTTTCTCTATCTTTCTTAAGACACCTTTGGAGATAATCTTCAGCAGCTTGTGGGTACCATGTTCTGGCACCAATTTTAGCGTCCAATATACATGGATTGATTCGGCTTGAGACAATATCTTCCAAGGCCAGGTGAGGAGACAGGCCAGAACCATCAGACGCCTCTAAAAGCTTAGTGCCATGAAATACAGGGAAGAACTTGCGGATGTGGTCTGGAATCCTAGTGTCAGTAGAGAATGCTGTATAGAATGCTAACTCTTGGGATCCACGCTCGTCACTTTGAAGAGGCTTGTAAAAGTGCCCTGAATCATCCACAAGAGGGCCAAGCTTTCCACCACCGGCTTGGTGGCCAGCAACTTGATAATCTGGGACCTTAAACATGGTCTAGAAAATGAAGAGAATTATCAGATACATTCAAATGTGTTTCAGCAGGCAATATTCAATTAACGTATAAGAATTTGCTGATGCTACAACATGCAGAATCAACGTAGTGCCCTTGTGAATCCAAGAATTAAAACTTTATTGAAAATTAGAAACAACAAGTATATCAATCACAAACTTCTCATCATCACGAACTGAGATGGCAAACTTCAATGCTCCTAAATACAGTCAAGCAAATTTGTCTAGTAGATGCTTGGCTTTCAAAACAATCAAAACAAGCAAATTCGTTTGGAAGTGTTTTTAAAATGGCTGAAAGCGCTTTTGATGAAAATGTTTTTGAAATCAATCCTTAGTAAAAATGCAAGTAAATCTAGGAAAAGCACTTAAGTGTTTCCTGGAAGAACTTTTTAGTGCTTCTGGAACCAAAAAAAACATTTTCTCTAAAAGCATTTTCACTCATTTTAAAAGCACTTCCAAACGATCTCTAACTCAGCCAATAAATGAGTTTTCCGTTGCGCTAAAACTCACCAACTTAGCACATTCAACTCAAGGATAACTAATACTTTCTTAGTTCCCATAGAAAAGTAAATTCAGAATGATAGTAAGATGTATCCCAGAGCCAATTAGAACCCTGCGATAACAATCGAGTACTGCAAGTTTCTGGCAAAAGGAACCTAAGCTTCTGACACCAAACACAAAAATAGCAACACCAAAAGGATTCCAAAAGTATTTAACATACAAAATACATCCAATTTCTAAGTAAATTTCAGATGGGTTTATACAAAAACCTATAAAAATACAGTCTTGAAGCAAAGAAAGCAAATTTAGAGTACCAAGAACCAGATTTTGCTATGAAATCAGAGAAAACTGAAATGCATTGGAATATCTACAAATCTAATCCAAGAATGCAAACCAAAACCCTTTTTCTCAGGGAACTTTGGACAGAAAGATTGTAGAGAGAGAGCAAGAGAAGAGACATACCTGGATCTGGCTGCAATTGCTGTTGCTGGCGATGAAGGCTTGGCAGAGAAGCCTTTACCTTTCACTCGCTTTTGATTTCTGTGGCCACCAGAGAGAAACCTTTCTCTTTAAAACAACGGAATAAAAAAAGGATTTGTTGACTTCAAAACAAAGCTAAAGTTAAAGTGCTTATTGGACACTGGATTGGCTTCTTCATTTGGAAGAGAATCCTACGTTCTTCGAAATCACAATTTAATACGGTAGATTAAATTTTTAGATAAATTTATGAATTGTGTAATGGGTTGTATTTACGTTGATTAATATTTAAATAATAATTTAATCATCAACAACTATGTCATATGAATTATAAAATTCAATTTAAATATCCATCTAATATGTGCAAAAAATCTCATAAAAAAATGCACACAAAAATGGTGCACACATGTCAAGGGACATTTTATTGTTTAACAAAAGAAAATAGTACTTTTATAAATATTGTAACATAACTCATGTGTTGTATCATTTATAATAATAATGGTAAATGATACTCTTAATATATCGTATGACTAGAATATAGTAATACAAAAACAAATACATATGTTATAATTTGAGTAGAATTATAAAGTCTTTTGACGTGTTCCAGTTACATAAAAAAACTATTCTACATGTCAAACTTTAATTGGGAGAAACATTAGAAATTTATCCCAAAGTAAGAAGCTTATTATCATCCATGTTTATTTAACCATGCACTGATGCACCCCCATTTATCCACCCTATTTTCCTAATGCACTGAGGTTCTTGGGAAAATTCTATGTCGATTTAACCCAAATCTCAAATCAATCATCACATTTCTTCATAATCATTAAAGCAAAAGCAACCACCTTTTTCTATTTTCTTACAAGCATCATCATTGTGTCTTTACTCATGATGATGTTCACCAAACTTTTCTTTGTTTAGTTTACTAGCCGAAAAGCATTTGGCTTGTTGTCGACTTTTGCTTTTACTTTGCAGCATTTGTCTGTAACTTTCATGCAGCCCACACCATGTGATATTTCCACCGAAAGCAAAAACACAGGTCACTTCATTGTTGCCAGCTTAAAATATGAGCCAATCACAACAATCTCCACCTTGGCGAAATACACCATGCAAAATCCTTGCACCCATCACCAAAGCTCATTGGCCTTACGTACCAGCATACACACCCTGAATCAACCTCATTGGTCCTGTTCTGATTCAGTCACTGCCAATGCATGTGCAGCTGCTGCAAGCTAAAAATCACCATTTAGCTTTAGTCATGATCTCGACACACCCTCGTCTCCTCCAACATGTTTTCCTCTTCTTCATTGTCTGCAACCTGGAAACTCACCAGCGCGCCCGTTTCTAGCAACAACCCATTAAGCCAGACAAAATTCCCACACTTCCTCCTACCTTAGGACCATCTCATCACCTATGAATCTCATAGCTCCACCTGCTGCAAAACCCCTGCAACACTTGAGACTAAACATCGTCAGGAGAAGTGTTGCTTCGAGTACCTAGAGGGCATACTCGAAGCCTTATGCCACAAACTTGCTACCACCCGGCCTTGCACCGTAGCACTGTGGACCCTTGCCTCCGGAACCGGATTTGAATCTGTTGTCTCTTTCAGATCCTCTTTTCAATTTTCTTCCACGATTCCAACCTTGAATAGCTTAAGCAGTCTCGTGCCCACCATCATCCATGGTTTCCTTTGTGTATCATTCCACACCAAAGAAGCTTGCACCTGCTCCAAACTTACAGTATATTTCCATGCAGTAAAGTTTCACAAGGTTCTCGTACGAATTTGAAAGTGAGCTAAGAAGAAAGAGGCCTTTGTCTTCTTCCTCAACATCAACTTTCGCAGTTGATCTAAGCATCCCTGAACACGATTTCCATTTCTTCAGGCTTCCATTAGTCTCTTTTACCAAGAGTAAAACCGCCTCTCCCATTAAGCTGCTCAACTGAAAATTCCATGGTGAACAACAAATCTGGACCTCCAACGAACAAAAGCGCCCAACGATGCTCTGATACCAATTGTTGTGCCTTGGCCCGTTCGTTAGTGCGGAAACGAGATTCAGATTACAACCTCACCAAATCACACTCAGTTGAACATAATAAAATACAAGAAGTAAAGACACCAAGAAATTTAAGAGGTTCGGCAAAAATCTTGCCTACGTCCCCGGAGAGATATTGCTCTTCACTATGAGAATAACAGTACAAGATACACATGAGTTAAATCGACATAACCCAATCCCAAATCCCTTGCACACCCACTTATAGAATTTTCCCAAGAGCCTCACTCTACCCCAAGAGTTCTTTCACTAGAATACTTTTCACTTTAGCTCTCTTGGTTTTCTCTCAACCCATGTTCAACCTTTCCCATGGTAGAGCCAAATGCTCTCACCATCTCCTTGGATGCTTCCCTGATGCAAGCCTTCTTCCTCGGTAAGCACACATAATGCAAGCATTTCCTTGCATTAAATAAAGACCAATCCATCATCACATTTCTTCATAATCATTAAAGCAA